GGCGCGGGAACCCTTTGAAATTCAAATGAGTGGCCGCTAAGGAGCCGGCGGCTCTGGCTGCGGTGGCGGCGGCCGTGTGGCACTCACCCCGCGCGCTCACTCGCGCGGCGGTATGGAACCGAGTTATGACCGCTCTAAATTTCAGCCGTGACAAATTTTACGTGGACATGCTGGTGGGCACTCCGGTTGGATAACCTGGTCGTGCGCAGCCACGCGGCGCCAGCGCCAGCAGTGTTGTGTCGCGCCGACCGCCGCGCGCTGGTCACGTGGGGGTGCGGCTCTGACAATACCGGGTGCAGGGAGTGCAAGAGCTACACAGCCAAAAACGCACCTATTCTATTTTTTTTTTTATTTTTTTTTTTTATTTTCCTTTGGAGACGATATGATTAATCAGAAAAAGAACTGTGCAGCAAAACTGTTGGGAACAAACTATGTCCGTGGTACGAAATATGTACACTGTAAGTATTATTTTGCCAAGCGCGGGTCGTAAGAATAAACGTGCCGGTATGGTTACCGCCGTATTTTCTTTTTTGAAAAAGGAAAGTGTGTGTGTGTCTCTAAAGAGGCCAAATCAGGACACAACTTATATACCTAACTATGCGCCCTACTAAATAATATCGTACACACAAAAAAGGCACACGTGTTTTTTTTGTTATCTTTTAAAATGAAAATAAAGACGACTCCAACACCTGTTCTCGCCGTTCGACCGGGCCCCTTTTGAGAACAACACCACTTCTTTTGTGCAGATCCGGTCCGGTCGGGCAGTAGTGTGTCTATAGATCTTATACGGCGGCCCTTCTGGCGGTAGCGCTCGCCATAAAGTCTTGTCCCGAGGGCCCTGCTGGGCCTGGGCCTGGGCCTGGGCCCCGCCCCGCCACCTCTCGCGGTCCGAAGTGCACACCGCGCGGCAAGCACACCGACACCAGCAAGGCGATTCGATTTTATTTTTTTCTACACCCCTTCCTTCTCTTCTCACACCTCGCGGCGCGCGCGCCTTTCGCCGTAAGGAAAGCCCTTTCACCAATATTTGATGGATGGGCGGGCGCGTGAACATTACTCACACCTGGACACGCCGCGGTCCACACGGCCAGATCTGGCCTGCAGGTCTGGAGGTCTGGAGGCCTGGATTAGAGGGTCCCGCGACCGTATCCATCACGGAGCGCGGAAGTGCCACGACGACGCGACGCGGGGTCGCCCTTCTCTTGCGCCACGACGGCGCGACACCCGCCGCCGCCGCTGCCGACCGCGAGCCGCGGCGTCGGCGGCGTGCTCCGTGTCCTCCCCGGAGGAAACGAATCGCCGCCCGCGACTCCCTGCGACACACTCGATTTTTCTCCCCCTGCTTGCCGCCATTGCCGCGTCGGCTCGACTGACTGCTCCCGGTTTGCAAGAGATGCTTGTCCTGGCGTTTCTCGCTATCTGGTCGTCTAGCTGCCGGTGACTTCTCACCCCCACTTCCTCTCTCTCTCTCTCTCTCTCTCTCTCTCTCTCTCTCTCTCTCTCTCTAGCTCAATCAGCTCCACCCAATTCCCCCTGGCGCGGTGGCGCTCAGCGCCGCCAGCGACCTGCCACATAGGCGCCACCACAGAGGCGCCACCGGGCGCCACCGGACTGTTACATAGTAGTATGTTGTTTTTTTTTTCGAGTCAGATAGCAGAGGTCCTGGACCAAAAGCATGCAAGCGCGCACGTAACAACAACAACACAAATATTTTGGGGTCGCCCCGGAGAATGTTGGTGTCATTTGTATCCGCTCCGTCTCGTCTGGTTTCCGTGGAGGACTTCTTCTTGCCGCGCGTTCCGGGGCTGGTGTGGTGACTGGTGTGGTGACTGGTGTGGTGACTGGTGAGCACCCAGGCTCCTCTGCTGACCGATGCGGCTAATAAGGGGAGCCGTGGTGGGGAGGGAGTGGGGTGGTGTCAAAATTGTTGTGGAGGCGGAAGGCGGGATGGGTCGCCTATGGGCGTTCCGACGATGCCGAAAATAAGAATTATCTCTCCGAGCGTCTTTCGGAAAGACAATTCTCGCGCTGTGCCGTGCTGCGCTGTACCGCGCTGTGCTGGCGGGCGCCGTCTGTCTACGGCTCTGGCCGCCCGCGTGGCTAGCCTGGACGCTCTCGCGGTGGATATGGATGGGAGTCGCTCTATGGCGGAGATGACGCCATTTACCTTCCTCACAATGGGAATGTGGACGCCCGGGCCGGGGGTCTCGTGGGCGGCGGCGGCGTCGCGTCCAGCGCGCGTCCCGGGCGTCCCGCCGGCGAAGGGAAAGTGAATGTGAATTGCCTGGGCTTGGGCTGGGCCGATGCAAGCACGGGGGCCGCCCCACCTTTGAATTGAGGGGGAAAAATATCGTGGCCTGCCCCATGTTCATGTTATTGTTTGACTTGTTGTTGTTGTTTGAACTGTTGCCCTGCCTTGTTGGTGTTTGAACTGCCCTGCCCTTCGCTCAACCTTTCTCCGGTGTGTGTGCTCCGCAGGCACCAGCAGCTGCTCGGGCAACCGCAGGCTGGGCGTGGCGCCGTCCGCCTACCTGGCCTCCATCGAGTCCCTGGACGACACGGACGACGAGGACGGGCTCAAGGGGTCGGGCGTCAGCAACAGCGTCAGCTACAGCGTCAGCTACAGCGTCAGCTCGCAAGGTCAGTCGGGGACAAGCTCTCATAGGGGCGAGCAGCGCTTGCAGGAAACGATAGAGCAATCACAACATGCGCAACTGATTGTGAGTCATGACCATATGCGTCCTCCTCTTGCCTGAGACTGCCTTTTATTCACTGGGAGGTCGGAAGGTTCGGACTCAACGCACCCTTCTTCGGGTGCTTAGTAAAGTAAAAATTTAGCAATCATAAAAAAGTTTCTAAATTGCCCCAAAAGATGCCCAAGGGCCATTTCATGCCTTTATAAACTTTAAACGCTCTAGTTCGTACCCTTGTGTTTCAGTGTTTTATTACCAACTAACTTCGATTTATGTTTCTGAAGGGGAGTATGACCATTTCTAGAGATTACTTTGACGGACTGCGCGAAGCAGGAAATGTGTATCTAGGGCTGCAGATCTGTTTGCTGGGCAGCCAACCTGCCGTGCAGCACACGACGATACGCCCCGCGTGCGTTGTCTGAGTTGGCAACACTGTTCCAATCAGAGCATGTGTGTGTGTGTGAGCCATGTGTGTGGCCCTTCGGCACGCGCCTCATTAGCGTCTAGGGGCGGGGCCCGGGCGGGGCGGTCTGCGTAGCCCTTTCTCAATCCTATAAGTCAGAGCCTGCCCAGCCGGGCCGCCTGCAAGGTGCGACAGGCTGTGCGCTGCGCCAAGAATGTCCCTGGAAGTGAGTCTGCGCGCTCTGCGCCTGCGACCAGGACGCTGGACCAGGAGGCTGCTCGGGGAGGCTGGACCAGGACGCAGGACCTGGAGACTGCACGAGGGATTTTCATTTTTAAAACAAAATATTAAGAGGAAATATATCTTCCAAGAATTTTTTTAAAAAATCGTTCAATTTTTTAATGAAAATTTTATTGTTTACCAATTTTCCTGGAAACATTTCATATTTTAAAGATTTTTTTCTGGGAGTGTTTTCGTTTTTTTCCTAAAAATCTGTAAAATCCCTTGGCTGCACCGGGAGGCTGCATCAGGAGGTTGGAGCTGGACCAGGAGGCTGCGGGCCGGGAGATAGAGCCCACCCCGCCGCCGCTGCCCGCCGGTCACACTCTTGTTATCGCCTCCATTTGCGTCCGGCCCCGTTATAAAATAAAGACCGTTTGAGCGAGAGCGGTGCAGCAGCGCGCGCCAATGCCGAAAGCAAAGCGCGTACAAATCAGCGCGAGTAGAGCCGCACCGGACCAAGCAAAGCAGGGCGCTATTGGGGTCGAGCCCCAGTTTGAGCGACAAGACTGGATCTGAATGTGGATCTGGATCTGAGTGCGGAGGGTGGTTGGCATACCCACACTGCTTTCGCTGCAGTCCAGCGGCACCCGCGCCACCCTGCCGCGCTCGCCCGACCCCCGCATCGCCCCGCCACTCCCATTGTGTGCTGCTCCGAGGGGGCGATCGGTTACATATATTTCCGTATTGGCCCAGAACTCCTTTTGTTGTTTGGTCTCAACCGAGATATAAATATTCTTGTTCACACGGATTTGCGAGCAGATTTGTTTGTTACTTGTGGTGAACTGCCACTGCCAAAACGGTTCTGTAGTGCCATATCCCGTTATTACTTTCTGTAAAGATGAGTTTGATAAATCCATTTAAAGAAAAAAATTGCGACCTGCTACCTGCTCTATGGTGGCAGTGGATTCTTCGGCCCGCGCGACCAACTCAACTAGTACACTGGTGCTACCCTGCCGCTTGCACCAGTGCGTCACTAGCATGTCATCGACAGGTCGGTGGCTCGTTCGCACGTGCGTACGACTACCTGCGGAGACTCTGGCGCGGCCTCATTGCTCACGACCTCTACTCAAAAATACATTATTTCTGAAAAGAAATCTTCAGAATGTGGCCTGGAAAAACAAAGGTGGCATCTAATGCGATACACGATACACACCCAGAAAATGGTATCCATAAACCAAGGAAATTTCTTTTTAAAAAATAACTCATGATAATTTTTGACCTTGGTTTACGGTGTTTCCATTGCTTTTACAGGAAATTGGGTTAATGCAAGGAAATTTTATTTTAACGGCATTTGCCTCAAGTTAAAGACAATTTTCCTTGTATTTTTTTAAGGTAAAAATGGCGTTGAAGCAATGTATTTCGCCTTGTTTCAAGGATACCATTTTCTTGGTGTTTTGCTTCTCAAAATGTGCCAAAGGTGCCATTTCTGCCTTTACAGAGGCAGTAGTTGACTGCCACCCCTAAAGGTTTAGTAGCACCCAAAAAAGAGTGCTGTATCGCACATTTGTTTCTCGCAGTGTTGGATTTTCAGAGAAATGTTTGTTTTTCTTTTTGCACGCCCGACGAAATTACAGGCTCACAGTGTCAATCGTGCGGTAATCGGCGCGCGTCGGGTTCGTTTCTCCGGAAAACACTGCTCGGCTACGGGGGGAGGGGTAGGGGGGTGCTGCTCGGCTACAGCCTCTAGGATCTGCAGAGCCCTCACGCGACAGACAGCAATTTCTCCTAATGTAAGCAAGCCGCGTGAGCGCGTTGAGTGAGGGGGTTGGGAGTAGGGAGGAGGGAGGTAGAGGGAGGGAGGAAGGGAGGGAGGGAGGGAGGGAGAGAGAGGAAGGGAGGGCACACTTCTTCACTGCACGCGCGCTAGAGCTTGTTGGTGGGATAAGGAAGGTCTGCGTGGCATGGCGTGGCGTGGACAGATTGGATCGCCTCTGCGTCCTCTCTCTCTCTCTCTCTCCCTCTCTATCTCTCTCTCCCTCTCTCTCCCTCTCTCTCTCTCTCTCCCTCTCTCTCCCTCTCTCTTGCTTGCTATTCGTCCCTTCCACCTGCTGTGCCTGCTTTGCATACACTGGCTTCGGCGGCGGCGGCGGCTCCGCGTCCAGATCTGGACTAGCGGGCGCGTTCAGATCTCTGCACAAGCGGAGTGCGTTCAAGACACCAGCCGCAGCACCGAGCGCCGTCTGTTGCGCATTTACAAGTGTGTGCCACGACGGGTGGACTACAAAAGGTGTAGAGTTGGGGGTTTCTCGAAATTTGCATCAAAACAATAAATTCCCTCTTGCTGGATTTCGGGATGCGCGGGTGGAGGGCTCTGCACAACGGGGCAGCACCACCGTTGTGGCTGTTTGTTTTTTGTGTTTGTTGTTGTTTCCTCTCTTCGGAGCAACAGCCAGGGTGGGTATGCCGGGTCCATCGCGCGGTTAAGTACCCGTGTTGGTTCCGCACGTCCTGGCCGTGGCGTGGCGGGCGGGAGGGCGGTCTTGCTGCGTCACTTGATGTTATGTTTGATTGAAACACACGCTAGCGCTCCGCGCTGGGCGCTCTGCGCTGGGCGCCTCCACCCGCCCCAGCCCTGGCCGTGCGCCACGCAACGCTTACGTCGGTGCAGTACGCCGAGCTGCCCGCCCGGGCGCGTCGCGCGGAGCGCACGGCATAGGGCCAAGCTCATGCATTGAAAACCAATTTCCCGCGCGCGGGCCTTTTGTACCCTTCGAGACCTGCTCGGCCCGACTCGAGGAGGGCGTGACGGCCCGACCAGGCGGCGCCCTGGGGAGGGCCGGGCGTGCGGTGCGCCCCGATCTCCACCCGCCTCCCTCCGCCGCCCCCTCATCGACATCTTACGGTCGCTTGTAGTCGTCTTGAAGCATCGCGCAATAGTGTCCACGAGACAACGCCCGTCTGAATAGCCCGTAGACGCTCGCAGGCGCCCGTCTGGGTAGGCCAGCCAGCTGCACAGCCGTGATGCACGGGACTGCCTATCTCGCAGGCGCCCGTCGGGTAGGCCAGCCAGCTCCACAGCCGTGAGGCACGGGACTGCCTACCTCCCAGGCGCTCCCAGGCGCCCGTCTGGGTAGGCCAGCCAGCT